TCTTAATTCACTTCATTAAGCTCACCGAGAAGATGCTCTCGTGGCGCGGTTGTTGCTCTTTAAACTGCCATGTATGGGGGAGGAGTGTCATGCTTTGGGGACTTTTCTTTCTCTTTGAACTAGTTAGATATGAACCATCAGGGAAAACTATTTCCCTGTTGCCAGCATGTTTATCTGGTCAAATTATCCCAGCGTATTTAATTGGCGGTGAGCAGTAAACAGTCCTTTCTGTGACCAAATTAGTTTATGGCTTGGACTCTGATTTTTCAGGAGATGCTTTAGGTTGAAAGCTGAGCTCTCGTTTTTGGCTCATGTTTCTGTCAGAGAAATTAGGTCCCCAGGGACAAACGGAGGATCTCCAGAGTGTATCTTTGCCTTGAAAAGTAGTCTCAGGGGGTGCAGATCCCCAGCAAGGTTGAGGATGCAAGGTTGTGCTGCGCCACGTTACAGCTTCATTGGTTAGAAAAGAGAGGAAAAGGCCTGAAACTAAAAAGACTTGGATTTTCTTGATTTTTTTGTACTTTGAAAGGAAGACTTTTGCTTTGGAAAGAAATCACATAGATGTGGCCTCTGCTGTGCAGAAAAAAAACGTGTAATGCAAGTCTTCAACGATTTCCTCATTTAAAGTTTCACTTGAACATTATTATATTCGGCTTTGTTAGTTGGGTTATGACTTCAGTGAGCTCTTTAATTAGTCATACTATTAATGTAAGAGCGCTCACAATTAAAAGCTAATGCACAGCCAAGTGTTCTGATAGCTGAATTTATTTTTTTCTCTGAAAAAAGAAGAACAAATTGTTGCAATTTTTCTTTCTAGTGTATTGTGGCTTATGGGACAATTGAATACTTGACAGCTGAAGAAAACATTGCTAACTAATGCTCACCTAAATGTCTTCCTGTGGAAGGGCTTTGTGACCTGTGACTGCTCCAAAGATCTCCTCCGAAAGGCAGCTCTGGGATGAAGGGCTGGCGAGTGCATTTGTGGGGAGCTGCCACCTGCCGTTTCACAAGGCTTGAGACCCAGATCCTGAATATTTGCATCATAAAAAACCATTCCTCCTGACATAACCCGTGGGGCAGTTAGTCACTAAAGGGTCAAAGTATCAGAGCAGCTTGTAAAATTGTTTTGTAGCTGGGTGTTGTGCATCCCTTGTGTTGCACGTTAAGCTGTGCGGTGCAAGTACCCAGCAATTTCTCCTCATAAACTTTCATCTGAACATTTTTTTATTAGATTGACTTCAGTAATTTCTTTAATTGGGCTTATTCTTAATGCAAGATGGCTTAAAATTAAAAACAGCTTCTCAGCTGAGTTAACATTCAAGCACAATCAAGTTAAATAATATGATGGCAGGATGTGAGGAAATAAAAGACCATTTTTGGCAGCGGCAGATCAATTATTACAATGCACATCCACGTGGCTTCCAATAATAGATTTATTTTTTTTCTCAGTAACATGCCCTAGCTGCAAACCCACAACCACTTCAGTAGATGTCTGTAAACAATAACTGCCTTCTGAAAAAATGTTATTTAAGCATTTTGTGGGTGATACTGGTGTAAAAAAATACTCCTGTGTACATGCCCGAGAGCATCGGTTGACTTTCCAGGCTCTGTGGCTCTTTGATGAAAGCCTGACCGTGGTCCCCAGGCAGGCGTGGGACTGTGCCGGGGTTGGAAATGTGTATTCTGGGTTTCTACCCTCACCTGAGTTTTCTCTACCGGGTAATTGCCGATGCTTTGCGTGAGCCAAAGCGCTGCGGAGGCTGCGGTCCAGAGTGGCCGCTTGTGGGTTGCGTTTCAGGTCTGCGCGACGATGGGTTTGGGCATGAGGATGTCAAATCAGCCTGCAGCATGTGGGTTTGTAGGATTCGATGAGGCAGTTCCAGGGTTTGAGAAAGGTGATAAATCTCCAAGAGAATTAAGTAGTGCAAAAGCTCATTTTGCAGGAGATGCATGTGAGGCTTGTGCCAGAGCGTTTGCTGCTGGCAGCTGCCACCCACCTGTCCTACCTGTCTGAGGTAAGAGAGGACTTTTTTAATACCGTGACAGCCACCGGTTACCCAAAAGGGTGCTGGATTCCATAACATGCTTTTACAGCATGAGACATGTCAGGTGGCACCTTCCTGGCAGCCGGCGTCTCATGTTCACTTCCAGGCCCCAGAGCTCAGCAGCAGTGGTGAAGGGATCCCCAGTGCCATCACCTGGGGCTCTGCTTTTAAGGTTTTCCCACTGGTCATCCCTTCAGAAGGATATCTCCTCCCAAGAAAGGGCCAGCAGCAAGCGAAAGCTTTGGGTCACGGCAGGAGGGAAGAGCCCAGGTCCCATAGGCGCCGGCGTCTCATGTTCACTTCCAGGCCCCAGAGCTCAGCAGCAGTGGTGAAGGGATCCCCAGTGCCATCACCTGGGGCTCTGCTTTTAAGGTTTTCCCACTGGTCATCCCTTCAGAAGGATATCTCCTCCCAAGAAAGGGCCAGCAGCAAGCGAAAGCTTTGGGTCACGGCAGGAGGGAAGAGCCCAGGTCCCATAGGCTGGGAGTAGACCTGTGGCTCCGGGCGTTGGCAAGCAGGTGGGAGGATTTTGGGGTCTGGGGCAGGGCTACGGGAGGATGCTGCTAATAAAAGTGGTATTGAAAACATCATTTTCCATAATCCGCTTATGTTGACAGGTCAGACAGGGCAGAGGTGAGTTTAGTTAAAGAAATAGCTTTCCAGAACATGAATGGATTGATAAAATATAATTCTATTATGAGATCATTCCAGGGCTTGAATAGCACTAATAATTGTGTGGGAATCTGAAGCACAAAGAGATTAGTGGCAATCTTTATTTCCCAAGCAGGTTGTCTGTTGGGATGTTGTCACATAAACTAAACATCCGTGTATTAAGAAATAATTGTGTGAATTTGTCCGGAGGGAATCCTGGGTGGAAACTGTGCACAGCCCTGTGGATGCTTCACAGGGGCAGAACCAGGAAAATTGATCAGTTTAGGAAACTAAATTTTGCCAGTTTTTTATTCTGAGCAAATGGGAATAAACACATTCCTATTCTGCACCGGATGCCTCACCGGGGTGGATATTTGGGAGGAAGGCAGTGGAGATGCTGTGCCAGGTCACTTACAGGCACAGGTCCTCCCTTGGAGGGGGACACCCAGGTTCCCGTTTTCCCCTCAGGCAATGTCCCAAGTAAGGTGTGAATCCGTTCTGACAGCATGGATGCTGAAGATGGGGTCACCTGGAGTGGCACCAACCACTGCTACCTCCTTAGGCTGTGCCCCCCAGGGGCTGGGGCTGCTCAGGAAGTTTAAGCCTAAAGAAATAACTGTATCCTTCATCTGTCCTTTACATTAAAACCTTCTTTCTCTCTGTTTTTTTCCCCTGCTTCCTTCCCTGCCTCGTCCTTCCCCTCTCGCAGCAACGTGGACACCAAGGAGCTGTGCGGTGAGTGCAGTTGCTCTCTCGGGGCACGAGTTATCACGACATGTGCGTGTGTGTGTCACGACGTGTGTGTGAGTGTGTGTGTGTGCTGTCAAAGGATACATGAGACTTGTTACCGAGCTGGCGGCTGCAGGGCTGGCGGAGGTCTCAGCACTTCTGCTCCTTTGCCCTGCATTCTACAAGAAAATTGGGAAAACTTTTCTTCACAAAAAGGAGTCAGAGCTGAGCGGAGGACCTGGCTCCCCTTCGATAACAAGCCGGAGTTTAATTTCTGGCGATGTCACGGCTTCCAGCTCCGCTCTGAAGTTCAGTAAAGCAGTATCCCTCTGCAATACCCGTAACGTGTTTCTCCTTAGGCAGACCTTCGTGTTTCCCAGCAGGCTGCCTGAGGAGTACACCACCTCTGCTGCACCTCCCACGGCTTGCAGAAATTAAAGCCTGAAAAGAAAAGCTCTGATAATGTTTTCTCCCACACCTTGACCAGAAAGGGAATATTTCCTGCTGGGATTTGCCTCAACGGGAGGTGACTTGTGCACGAGGCTCCCGCTGCTCACTCGGGTGTAGTTTTCCATCCATTCTTGGTACTGGGAAATGTTTGCTCTGCCCCAGCTTTTTGGGAGGAAATGGGGAGACAGAGGCGTGTGGTCTTGCAGAGGGCTCACCCGTCTCTTCTCCTCCCCTGCTGCATTCAGACTTAAAGGTGGTTATCTTGTTATTTTGGTACGCAAGAAACTAAGCCTTCCATAACATCCTTGTGGTTTGCCAACAATAGGATGGGCTTGTTCCCATCACTCCTTTCTCGTTGCTCTGGGTCTCCTCTCCAGCTGACCCCAGAAATCCAAACTCCAGAGTCTGGACAGGGGTAGTAACATCAGTGCTTGATCCCACCCTACTTCCTCCATCAGTCTGACAAAATCACCTGGCTATCATCTCCCAGCGTGGTCCCACCTCGCTGCCTCTCCCAGAGGTGAAGCTGCCAGGAGAGGAGGGAGATAAACCCGTCACTTCCCGCGGGAAGCTGGGGAAAGGAGCAATCAGGGCGAGATCCTGCCTAGATTTATTATCTGATGAGTACCTGCCCTCGCCTGCAATTTTTGATTTGCTTGCTACTCTTCTAAGTATTAATTTAAACATAAAACCTTGCATTGGCTAAATGGAAGCTGCGGCCCCTCTCTTGAAAGGGGTTGGGTGTTGTACAATGTTTAGAGCATCTTGAAAGGGATTTCTTGACCCCTGCAGCTTATGTGAGAAATTTGATATGACTTAATCTGTAGTGGGTAGCATCTTTTAAAGTTCTGGGGGAGTTTGCTGCCAACGAATGCAACAATCACCAGCACCTAGACTGACTGAAATACAGTTGCCTAGCTCCTCAGCCCCGAGGACCTCCCAGTCAGAGCTATGAGTACTTAATACACCCTGAAAATCCAAGTACAGCTGCTGAGTTGTACCCACCACCTCTCAGTTTAACTGAAACACGGATGTTGCATGCAACAGCACAAGCTGTCCAGCGCACCAAGGTGTACTCCATAGTGAGGAGATGCACGTCAACCCATTGCAGACTGTTGGAGTGGTGGGTGATGGCTTCGATGGGGGGAAGCTGGTGGGGGACATTCACCTCCTCCCACACCAGCCCCAGGTTGCAGTGATGCTCATCTCCTGAGCATCGATCCCCATTGCTCACTGCCGACGTGTAGGAGCCGTGAGCAAGAACTGTGGAGGATAGGGAGAGCTGATCTCAGATCTTCACATGAATAAATAAGGCTAAAGCAGTAGGTCTTGAGGGATGTGCTCTACCCGCAGCACCTCGTTTCTCCCAAAGTCTGTGGATCCAGCTTTTTACTTCAGGACTCACAAAAAGTCTTTACCTTTAAGTTCTGCACAGATTTTCTTTCCCAAGTGAAGTAATAACACGAATAAACACGCTGCACTGAGAATAAGCTGCTTGCCTTATCGTGGAACAGCAAACAGCTGCTGTCAATCACGCTGTGACATTCCGGTTTCTGCCAACATCTTCTTCCCCTTGGATATATTCTCAGGCTGTAAATAGCTATAGGCACTTCTAATTAAGCCAAGACAACCTAATTAGCGGGCTTGTTTCCTGGGGTTTATGTCTTGTTGCATTCCACAGAGATGTCACCTCGGCATGCGGCTTTGTGTCTTGGTGCTGAGGAACGGCACCGGTGCCTTTTAAGGAGCAGCTATTAGCTGTGGTCTGTGCCAATCACCCAGAAACCAGGTGACTTCACCTCCTCGCTGCAAACTCCGTGTGCTCCTCGCTGTTCCTATTGCGAGCAGGGCTCCGTAGCTGGTGCAAGAAACTGCACCAGGGCTCCTATGTGTCACGGAGCCATCAGCCCCGTGAGGACACACTGATTTTGGGTGCATATTGTGTCAGTGAAGGGTGGCTGGGGTTGCATCTGCCCGCAGGAGGGATGATGACGGCACAGAGAAAACGCAGACTCCTTCTCCATGGGGAACACATGCCTTTGGGCCCAGCCTGCAGCTCTGTTCTCATCCTTCTGAGGCATATTTTGCTCTCCGAAGCCCGTGCAGCCCGTGGTGGTGGGCTGAGGTGCAGATGGGATGGGAGAGCAGGGAAGGGTGTAAGGCCAGTCTCAGCTTGTGTCGATTGGGGTGGACCTGGCAGGTGTTTGGATGCTTTGAGTGGTAAAGACTGGCAAGGGAATGGAAGGGGAATTGCTTTTGAGACTTCTCCCTCTGTGTTGGCAATAGGAGAGAGAGAGACAAGATACAATCAAATGCAGAAGTGAGCACGGAGGAAATGAGACTTCTCCCTCTGTGTTGGCAATAGGAGGGAGAGAGACAAGATACGATCAAATGCAGAAGTGAGCACGGAGGAAGAGCACCTGCAAAGTTATTTTCAGTGGGAGCTTTTTTACAATAGTCCGCAACTTCATGGGAATTGCACCGCTTCCCATCCTTGCAGGACAGGTTGCGACTTTGGCTCAGGATACAGAATATAAAAATATACCTGAAACCACCCTTTCAGGTTTTCTTCTACGCCGATAAATAGACCTTGCTGTGTCGTGTAGCCTGGAGATGTTAAGTTACATCAAGCAGCTCACGTCGTGTCCCTCTTGGTTTTCCCAGACTACTTCGCTGACCACATGGGAGACTATGAAGACGTCTTGGCCTCACTGGAAACGCTGAATCTCTCCATCCTGAAGGCGATGGACTACACCAAACGGGTGAGTCCTTCTGACTGCGCCTGGAGGGCAGCAGGGAAAGTGCTGCATATTTCACATGTTGGTGTCTTGCCACGGTAAACTAAAGGCAAAAGTCTTTGGCCGATCACTGATCTGTCTGAACCGTTTGTCAATTTTTTATCAACATTATGAGAGGGTAAAAAAAAAATCGGAACAACAGGAATAGTTCTTTTTTTCTAATTAAGTTGCTGAGTCTGTTCATGCCTCATTTATATTCATTATTAGCAAATTTTCTGGCAGTCAGAATTGCCAACTATGTATTTTAAATACATGTTAACGTGCTAATAGATCTCTCTGTAATTCACTCCAACTTGCTATTTGTGATGCCTTCCACCATTGCGTTCCGAATGTCATGTACATGACTAATTCCTCCCAGGATTTTGCAAGAGGAAGGTGGCTTATGCCCTATTTATAAATCAGGCATCTGAGCACTAGGGCATTACCTTTCATGAGAAATCTGCGGCAGAAACAGGATGGTTATTCATCATCCCTATCCGGTGCCTTCATAAGAAGAGCATCTTTCTCCCTCCTTGATTCAGCAGCCTGTGGCAGAACTCACCTGCCTTAGTCGTGATGGGTGAAGGTTATTTACCTAAACCTGGGCTGCTCACCTCCATGGTGGAGGGAACCAGGGAGATCCAGAGCATCAGAGGCATCTTCCTCCTGTGAGCCCGAAGGATCACAACAGTCTTCATCTCAAATACACACGTGTCCCTTCTAATGGCTAAAGCCAGGTGAGGGGGGGCTGCCCCAGCACCCCACATCACCACCCTTTTGTTGGCCAGTGGGCTGTGGGGCGTGTTGCTCTTCACCACAGACTTTTGGGATGCGGAGAGGAACTGGCAAAGAAGTATTTTGTGAAGAAATATCGCTCCCTGCTGTGATTTTGTGAACAAAGTGGTGCAAAGCTCATCAATAAATTATTCAAAGGCAGGTGCTTTGTTCAGGGAAGGAACTGAAAGGAAAGAAAGAACACCTCCAAACCCAGAAAATATGCTGCTGTAGGTGGTAGAGAAACCCATTTCCAGTGTCCAGATAGGACAGAGTTCCAGGCAGTATCAGGAGCTTTCCCTGAATGCAAACCATTTTTTTTGAGATGTGAGATTTTTTTCACTATGTGTGTTCCCTTTAAAAAAAAACAAACGTATTTGTTTTACTAGACTTTGTGGTTTTAGTGTCAGGATTGCCAAAACAGTGTCAGGAGGCAGCTTCTTACAATGCAAACTGGTAAAATAACCTGGCCGAGGTCTTCTCACCAGCTTCCAGCCTATGGGTGTTCCCACAGCCCAGCCCAACTTGGGGCACCTTGCAGGGGTGTTTTGCTCTCCTCCAGCACTTGTCTGATGGGTCCCCCCATAAAGGTCTCCTGCTCCAACTCCAACGTGAGATGCTGTAACCAAGTGCCCCGTGCTGATGTCAGGGTGCTGAGGAGATACGTAAGTCTAAATATATTTTTAGAAACACTAGATTGGGAAAATGACGGCTGAAGCAGCAGGATTTGGTAGGAACCAAACCCCAGGGCTTGAGCCCCTCACTTTCCCTGCAAAAGGGCTGGATCCTGCAAAGGGCTCAGGGCTGTGACTTGTGCGCTTTGCTTGAAAGATGTTCCTGCTTCTCCGCATTGAAATAAGCATTTCATCAGCTGGAGAAAACTACTGATCATTTGAGAGTGTTCCTTATTCCCTCCCTCTCCCTTTCATTAAGAAAAACACTCCGTGCAGATGAGAGATGAAGCCTACTCTTCTTCTGTGTTGCTTTTCTGACGGGAGGTGCCTGCTGACAAGAGAGGCTGGATAGCTGTGGCATTTAATTGCTGTTTGTATTTCTCACCTTAAAAGACAACTGATTATTTCTTGCTCAGAAAAAAGAGAAAGCAGCAATTATCTCGTGCTGGAGGAGCTCATGAAGTATCAGCAGTAATTGGATTCCGTGGTGGAAGGTCTCATAGAGCAAACCAAAATCTGTCATTGTAATTATTTTCCGATATGGTGATGTCCGTGCCGCGTTGAAATGAGTGCCAGTGACGCTGGGAAACACGAAGCTGAATTGGAGAGAAAGGAAATGAACTTTCAAGGTCTAAAAAAAGCCAACGGTGGGAGACGTTCGTAGATAATTCTCGTGTGCTAGTTTATAGTGCAGTCGGCAAATCTCAAAACCAGCATGACCAGGAAGGACGTGGTTTGTGTGTCTGGTGTTGAAGGGAGGGGTGAGAGCTGGGGGAACGGTGCCAGTTGGATGCTGTCTCTCCCATTCTGTTACTGACCCCCCTGCCTCGGGCTGCCTGCCCCATGGCCTCCCCCATCCCTGCCAGCCTGGAGTGGGGACGCAGATGGGAGAGCAGTGGACAGTGCCTGAGGAGCTGGAGGGACAGCACTGAGGTGGTGGTTACCACTGAACAACACCCAGACACTCCAGGAAATGTGCTTTTGCTTGGTTAAAAAAAAAAAAAGCAGCTCATTTTGTCAT